TCCACCCCAATCGAGCCATGACCGGGGCCGAGATTTTATAGGTCCCTAGTGAAGATAGTGCTGTTTTGGCGTCAAACTAGCAGTACGCCTACGGAAGGCACGGACTCTACGCTATTGTCTGGTACGGACACTAGTATTGCACGTCCGTGCAGAACAGAAAACTTACTAGATTAAAGCACTAAAATCAGACGACCATCACACAAAGTGCCGATCGAAGCGAAACGACCGAATATTTTGATAATTAATATGTACCTCGTGACGCAGTAGCAATCTCTTACTACTTAACTTACTGTACTGATTTCCAAAACGAAATATAAGATTATTTTATTTTATCCCATGTTATGAAAGCAGTAATGGAAGAAGTATCTTCCATTTCTGCTGTAATGTACATTTATTATACACACACAGTAGTGTACATTTATTATAATGACTATCTTATAAGTGTAGTACAGCATCATACTTTAGTTGTTACTACTAAAATTCATTTGGTGCATTGGTTCAAGCTAACGTGAAGAGCAGTATGGCTGAAATGTACTGTGTTTTTGTTAAGAAATTGTTGAATACTAATGAAAAGAGTAGTGTGTCAATAAAATACTGCTTTCATCATCATACCCTTGTTACTGCTCTTTATCAAACTAGAAAATGCAGTTTTAATTTACGTAGATGTATGAAACCTAGACAGGAATTAAGCCATTTTATTGCTGATTTGGAGTCAAATGTGACTCCAAATCAGCAATGATGTTATCTTCAGTGAAGGCGGATTTTGGGCGTCATTCGGGAGATTTGTCACTAACACTAGTATGTCCACGCTAGAATTCCAAATACCAGCGTTCGACAGACCGCAGACATGGGGCTTCATCACTAAACATAGATGTTAGCTCTTCAAAACACTAGAGCCGTGTCAGGCCTCTTCTAAAGTTGTAGAAAATTATTGCACGAACATTTTCCTTCCTTCCGAAAGATTCATTTTCGTACGTAACCTGACAGATTCCAATCGACGCTGTGACTAAACAATAGCATTGACCCTAATACTTTCAACTGTTTTGAGATTAAAAATTTAAACACATTCAGCTATAGTTCCAAATTCAAAATTGCCGGGAAATATGAAAACGACAGAACTTAAAAGGCATGCCTAGTATTAAGCTACGTGGTGAATACTTTGGAAAACAATAAAAAGTACTTTAAGGTTTTAGTTGTGTTTTTTTCTTCAAACGACAAAACTTAAAAGGCTACCCTCGTATAAAGCTGACATGGGCCAATATTAATTATTTTGCATCGGGCTTATATGTATCTCTGTAACCCAACACAAACATCTAACAAATATCTTAAAAAATAAAACAAGGTTAATACATGTTTATATTTTTGAAAGGGTTATCTTCTAACTTCTAAAGGTCAAGAATCCGCATGAATCCGGTCAGCTTAGCAACATGACATAACGACTACTAAACTCAAATACCAATAAAGCTAGAGAAATAAGCCAAAACACGTTGTCGGGCTGTAAAATTTGAGGGCTTCCCTCGATTTCACTAGAATCCCATCTTCGGATCCTAATTTGATGGTAATGGGACCATCGAGATAGTGTACCCTTTCGATTGCAGAAAGAATTTTGAAAAGTGACATTCACAATGAACGGAGACGGGGAGAAAAAAAAAATACAGCCGAATTGATATCCTCCTCTTTTGGGATTTTGAAGTCGGTTAAATAAAATTAAATGGGCTTCTAAGTAGCTGACGTCGGTATAAAATTGGCCGAGAATTCTTCTGCAATCGCAACATTTGTTCTTTAACTTTACAGCTGTTTTCTTAAAACTGTAGGTAGAACTACCTATTTAAGTTATTGCGATCTTAAAATAAAAAACAATAGGTAAGGCAGTTAAACTTTTCGTTCTTGGATAGACTACGAGTATATATTATAATTTCAGACCTAAGAAAAACTACCTAAGACTTTACTTGGTTAAAATAAAACTTCAACATTTTCATTTCATTTCATTTCACTTCAACATAGCAAAGACATATTGTGTACACGTGTGTTATCACGTGCGTTTTAATTTGACAGTAACATTATTTCTTAAAGCATTGTAGATATATCGGATAGCTGTAATTAAAAATGCGACTATTGCAAATAATATGACTAGAACTGTAAAAACTAGTTTAAGTTCTAAGTACTCTGCCCAAGAGATGTTAGCTGCAGGTGAGCGCAGATGTTTAGCTCCTCCGTGTCGCAGTACGTATTCAGTCCACCATATTGCTCGATTAAGCGGACTCATAGGCTCGTCTCGCATATATTTTCTAAGTTGTATGATATTCTGGCGGTAACTGGAAAATTGAAATAAACTATTAACAAAAAGATAATATGAAAAACTATTATACAATTATTAGCTTATGTGACGTATTTTATTTATTATGTTTTTATATATTGCTTTTATTTATTAATGTTTTTTTTTAATTATACGTGGGGCACACAGAAAGTCTCTGGCTCATGCCACTTACAATAAAAGATTGAAAAACAAGAATGGAATTCGAAAATGGAACTCTTTGGGAACATGTTACATCTTAATTTGCGAGACTGTCATTTGTTTTGTTATTGTGACGTCCTTTCAAAAATTGTGTGTCGCTATCAAAATGAATTTAACTCGTGAACGTTTTCGTTCAATGTTTTTTTATGATTTTCGTTGTGACTTAAGTCAACAAGAGAGTTGCCAGAGACTTCAATTGGCATTTGGTGATGAAGCACCATGTCGCAGTTCTGTGTATTCGTGGGTTGGATAATTTACCCGTGAACGTGATCATCTCCATGACGAGGTACGTGAACGTCGGCCGGCGACTGCGGTTACAGACTCTAATATTGACACCGTACGACAACTTATTGAAACTGACAAAAAAATACGGGCCAGCAAATTCGTGCTTTGTTAAGCATTGGAATGAGCCAAGTGCAAAACATTTTACATGTGCATGTAAAGGTTCGGAAGCTTTGCACTCGATGGATACCGCATGACTTAACGGAGGACCAGTAACGACTGCGTGCCAAGTAGTGCCGTAAAATGATAAAAAAGTTTAACGGAGGACAGTCGTTGGCTATCTAAAATATCGTGACAGGTGACGAAACCTGGTTGTACTGCCTTTGAAGCCGAAAGAAAAAGCCAGTCGATCAGAGTGGATCTTTCCTTTTGAAGATTTTCTGACGAAAGTTAAAAGTCGAAACATTAGTAAAAAAATGGTTGCTTCTTTTTTTGGCACAGGACATTACACTACAGTATCGCTTGAAGATCAAATGACTGCAGATTGGTACGTCAACACTTGCTTGCCCAGAGTCTTGGAAAAAGTTCGCGAAAAGCGTTATCGAAGCAATGTCCTCCTTCACCACGATGATGCATCCTCACATTCCGCTAAGGTAACAGAAGCCTATTTGAAGGCTTCAAATGTGGAACTGATGACGCATTTAAGACAGTGTACTACATAGTTTTTTTTGTAACAAATATTAATTAAAAAACTTGAAAAAATTATGGTATCATGGTATCATCTAGACACTTGGAAATATAAATTCCAGTTGGAGAAAACTTTAAGTCAATTTAAATAAAAAGTTATACTATTATTAATTAAAAAAAAAATCCAATCTCTGTTATCTTAAATGTTTTTTTAAATTATTTTTTTTTCTTATACATATACTTAACTAGATCCCACAATAAAGTAAATTAAAGTTTATTATATATTTTGTTTGTTATGATTTTTTAAGGTTAACAAAAAAATAAGTTTTTTTCGTTTCTTGTTAATTTTGTGGACTTTTTGAGTAGCCTATTTATGGTATCTACTGCTCAATAACTCGTACTTATACAAAAAGAGCAAATAAATTTAAAATATTATTTAAATGCGCATACATTTTTGATATTTCACTATATTATGCAATATAGTGATAGTGATTATATCATATTTGTACTGTAAGAATAAAAATATAGTTAGAATATATCAGGAGTCATTTTAATTTACTCATAAAATCATTATTCCTTTCTTCTTATCTTCTTGATTGTATATCTTTATGGATATTACTGTATGCGTTATATTGGCTTTTCAGAATGCGTATTTATGTGAATGGTTGTGATGTTGTTACATTTAATTCATTTTATGTCGTCTTTTTGGTTTATATATGTAATTTCATATATGTTTGAGAGATGTTTAAGAGTCATTGAAGGCCGCTGAATCTATATTGGAATACGTGAAACATTTAACACCAATTGTTACGATGTCAAGTAATTAAACTTTTTTGCCGATTATTTATTGACGTGCTTTTGTCATTGGGTCTAATTATTATGGAATACAAAATATTAATTCCCATCAACAGTCTTTAGTAGTCAACTGCTGGACATAGGCCTCTCCTTAGAAAGGAGGTTTAATTAATGAATACAAAATATTTAAAGGAAATGATATTACAATAAAATAGTAGATAGGTATAATATTAACCAACCTGTCATCACCTATTATAGTATTGATTGATTTCGTCAATGTATCTGCAGTAAGATCCTGTAGATCCAGTCGAAGCCCAATTTTGTGGTACTCATATTTTTCTACATTAAACCACTGATCCCCCAACATAGGCACTCCAATCAAAGGCACACCAGCTGTTATTGCTTCGTCTGTTGATTGAAGGCCTCCTTGTGTTATAAATAATTTAACTTTCGGATGTTCTGAAAAATATAAAAAGATTCCAAATATTTTGTTTTATTTAGTAAATTAATATGTGAATTTGTCAAAAAAGTATTGTATCTAAAATACATAGTTCAAATAACTTACTGAGTAAATCTGACTGTGGCAACCATTTAGATATTCTGATATTGCTAGTGCGTCCAGGCAATTCATCTTTATTCCATTTCCACAAAACATCGTAAGGTAATTCTGAGAATACCTCCACAAAAGTTTGTATTTTTTCAGGTGCTAGAAGGGAAGGATCTACGTTTGTGCCAAAACTCATGTAAATTACTCCATACTTAGATGAATCTAAGTATGACTTTAGATCCTAAAATAAATAAAAAATCAGTAATAAGCTTGAAATATACTCGTACTACAGAATCAAAACAGAAGAAATTAATTTTATAGGAGAAAAATTTTGGGATCATTATTACAATTTTTTTTTGGTTCCAGAAGATTTATATTCCAACAATAGTCGAACAACTGCAGTAGTTTCTTTATTAGCTTACTCACTAACGAGAATGTTTATCAATTAAATTATTCATACGCACTTGTAAAAAATTAACTTTAGGTTGAAATGAAAACATGGGTTTCATTGTAAAATATCAAAATTGCCCCTATTAAATTAATTATTTAAAGCTAAAGGTAAATTTGAAAAAACATGAGCTCAGACTTCCAATGTTTATTAAAATCTACTGAGCAGTTCCACTATCCAGTTTCTTTCTGGCTCTATTATCATCTCAACTCAGCTCTAGAGAGCTCCAAGATCCTAAATTATAGCATTATCATCCGAAAACATATACATACATACATACATGTATTTCAGCACTGCCTTATCTATGTATGTTTGTGTATGTATACACTTTTAGAAAGGTACTGTAACTGCAAGTAAATTAAAATGTATTTTCTAGATTTTTAAACATAATGCTACTAAACTTCTAATACGAAGGCAGGTTCATTAAAAATATAAGTTGTGCCTTGAAATTATTGGATTTAATTTGTTTGGTTACCATAAACAATAGTGACAATATAAGAGAAAGAAAAATTATCATTAATTTTAATGTAACAGGTTTAAGACTATAATACTCACTGTTGGTAGTTCTTTGTCAGGTTTTTGGTGCAATCCACCCATGTATACAACAGTTGGGGGTATGGGTCTAATTCCTTCAAACAGAGGATGTATATTTAAAAACAACATATCTATATTGTTGTTCAACTCATCCATAGATGGTACACCATTTCCGAAATGTTTTTTGAGCAGTTCATGTTCGAATGGTTTATTATTTTCATAAATAGTTTCTAATTTATAAAGATGATACAACTCGGTTATTTTCTCCCATACGCTTAAATTATTAATTCTTTGGTGTATCGCAGTTGGGTATAAAAATTTGTGTACTGGAGCACCAATGGTGTGGTAACTATCAAAAAATGCACCAAAAGAGCTTACCATGATAACCGGTGCTTTATATTTATAAGAAAAAACTAGTGCAGGTCTTACACACGCTTCTACTAATATCAAATCAAACTTTTGATTTCTATCGTCAAGTATTTTCTTTACTTGTTTATCTTTCAGTTGAGCATCAAATATTTTAATAAATAGTTTTAAACTTAGCTCTATTTGTGCTGCGAAATCGTCTTCGCCTCCTTTGGAACTTTTCAAGAATTTCTCTCTCCATTCGTTATACGATATATCGTGAACATCAATTTCTGTCAGATTTGCCGGTGCTTCTTGTGATGAGAAAGCTGGGTCCGTTGTAATGACTATAACTTCATGTCCTCGCTTAGCTAACTCCTGGGTTAGCGGTCGAAATACTACTTGATGACTTATAGATGGAACTGGAAACACACCTAATATTCTCGCCGCTTCATTTGGACTTACAACTATAAAATACCACACAATTACATGAAAAAATACTGACATTTTAGTGTCGATGTAACTGGACAAAATGGTTAAAGTGATCAGTGGTTTCCTTATAAATGAGTCTTATCTCACTAAATGATAAATTGGCTTGTATTAGTGGTATACATATATGATAATGGTAGGTCATAACATTCTTAGATTACAAGTGTGGCGCAAAAACTTATTGTGAAAAAGAAATATTAAAGTATACTATTATAATACAATTAGTATCATTGACGGTATCGTTTTAGGTATTTACCGAAGTTTTTTCTTGAAGGTGGCCTTAGTTCTTTTTTTTTAACTTCACATCTCACACTTGGCCGTCTGATTCCAAACTAGACAGAGCGTGTGCTATAGTAACCAGACTGCTGATAAGCATACTTATATATTTCTAAATACATACCTATCATAGATAAATTACACCAAGACACACAATAAATCATCGTGTTCATGACACAATTATTTATCCTGAGCCCACGACCTCCGACTTAGCAGTCAAGGTCACTAACCATTAGACCAACTGGCCTGTCATGTTAGCAGATTCTAAATCGTCACTTTCATCCGTTTTATAATGACATGTCTTCGTTGATGGATGTTACAAAAGACTTTTTGGCCCACTATACCACGCTGGCCAGAAGGGTTTAATAGGTATATTTTGTGCAATGCCTGCAATGCTGTTGTCCTGCCAAGTTTGCTCCCTTAGTCGGCTCTTACGGGATGAATGGGGGTGATGACACTCTGTGTTGTTAATCCGTTAATACACAGATAATGAAGACTAAATTGAATAATATACCTAAACCTAAATTAAAGATAAATGCTTAGTCATAAAAACGAGCACAATGTCTCTACAATGGCCAGGGAACCTTTTTTTTTGTTGATAGTGTGGAAAATCCCTTCTGATCTCCTGCTTCTTGGCGACTCCGGAGCTAAGTGTACATACACATGTGGTGATTCTACTAAAAACGGATTCTGCTAGTCTCTAGAAGGAACCGGACCATGTGATTTCAAATCCTCCCCGAATCGACACCACGCCCAATCATGCCCTATCTTAGGGTATGAATAGGCGTGGTGCCCCGATTGGTGTCCCGGTGGCGGCCCGATTGCGTGTTACTGCGATCAGGCCGCCATCCTATCCCAGATCCATAAGTTTCCACGCCGCTAATGTCCTCTACGCTTGGAGCATTACAGCTTCATAGAAAGAGATAACTGCGCCCCATCCCTCCTCACCCGCCAGTATAGCAGCAATAATTGCTGGCGGAGACAGGTCTTGTCAGATTTGGTCGACCAGTATTTCTCGATCAGATTTCCAAGGCTGCGACGCCCGCCACTGCATTAGTTCCGCCGCATTTCGAGCTCGTCTTGGTATGGCCATGAGATGTCCCCTTGGAGTTCAAGTTTATTTCACATCAACTCGCTCTCGACGGCGACCGTGTTTGGTGTTGCTACTCGTGACGGTCAGCGTGAGATTCGTATTGTTGTGATATGAACTCACACTAGGCCCCTAGAACTCTGTATTAATATACTCTTAAACATTACTTTAGCACTAAGTAAGCAACAAGGAAGTTTTAGGTACTAATATTTTTTAATATTATAATCAATCAGCCTATACCATATGACTAAAGATTGCTGAGCTAGATCGTCTTGGCCGAGCATTTGCGGACCATGCTTCTGCAATATCTTTACTTATTACTTCTGGCACCTATGAACCTCAAAATGAAGAACTACCCATTTGCTAATAAGTATTGCCAATGTTTAGTTTAAAATCGCTATTTTTAATCACATATGTTAAAAAGAAATGTTGCATAAATAAACTCAACTCAACTCAACTAAATTCAACTAAAAGAGACAATTCTCGAATAAATATTGAAAAATTCAAGCACGGAATGCCCTCAAAATGTTTCTATCGATGACTTTAATTATTTTAATGGCATGGTGTAAAAGTAATTGAAACATTTAATATTTCAATTTCTTTTACAATCAGTTTAAACTCTTTTATGATTTATGCTTCCAAGAAATCAAATTTGAATAAATAATACTATAAAATAAATGTATGACATTAAAAAGTATCAGAGTTTTAGAAAAAGAATGTGATAACTTGTGTTAAGTCACAGAATAGTGCCTTACAAAAAATATAAATAAATTAAAGAAAAACTTATTATAGAGTTTCAAAAAATAATTCAACACACACAAAGGTCACAGAAGGGCTAAACCGGTTTTTGACCCAAAAAATTTAACGAAAAACACGCGGAAAACAAATTACAAAACAAATCTTAACTGCTTAAGCGAGCTTTTATTAAAAATAACGAGAATAGTGTATCATATACAGGCATGTAACACTTTTCATAGACCAGGTACAATAGCTGTATACAACTAAACATTATAATATTACATAGAAGACAAGAATGCTTTGAATTAGTTTTATTAGTTTAGCACAGACTATTTCGTAGTGAAAATTTGATGTGGGCTAGTGTGTCTTTTATTTAATTTTACACTTTTTAATGTTTTACGTCACTTTCTTTTTTAATTCCATCTTTTTTCTATATCTTGTTTTCTCTTCAATGAATTTTTACCTTTTAGTCCTGAAAACTTACATACTGGCACACATCAAAACAATGTTGTGTATATTTAATGATGCCATTTTATGAATCTGTTAATTAAAAAAGAGTAGCCGTGAGTTTGTTTGCTCTTTCTTCTCATGAGGCTCAACCCCTTGGAAATGGATGGTTGTGGATCGGCACAGGCATATAAGAGATTATCGATACATATATATTTATTTCAAAGATTGTTGCTATTATGTGTATTAATCTATGACTTTAGAGTTTACACAACAGACGATTTCAAATAATTGTATACATTTTAAGAAATAAATATATTTTGAGTTTGAGTTTGAATAATGCCACACATATTGTTAGCGCTCTTTGTGCTTATCTGGTATTCTATTCATATTTTAAATTCTATATTACTTGGCTTTCGGATGTTTTATAAAAAAGCGAATTTGGTCAATATTTGACTTGGTAAAGGCTGGACTTATAATTATACACCTATGCTCAGGATTCATCTTTTCTGACTGGAATTGTTTTGTTGCTTTGGTAGACCATAATATACTATAAATTTATTGTTCTATGATTACTAAAAATAATATGTACAGTATTTACACTTATACTACTGTCCTACGCTAAATCTATCAAAAATATGTGTTTCCACATTAAATCTATAAAACAAGCCAATAATATTAACAAAATTATCACGCACTTTTAAATTTTACAGTAATGTGATTGCCTAGAGTAAATTTATAGATATATCGTAAAGCTGTAATTATAAATGCGATTATTGCAAAAAATATTACTAGTACTGTAAAAACCAATTCAAGTTCTAAGTATTCTGTCCAGGAGATGTTAGCAGCAGGTGAGCGCAGATGTTTAGCTCCCCCGTGTCGCAGTACGTATTCAGTCCACCACACCGCTCGATCAAGCGGACGCATAGGCTCGTCACGCATATATTCTCTGAGTCGTATGATGTTACGACGGTAACTGGAAATTAAAATAGACTGTTAACAAAAAATTATAACTAAAAAAAATTAATACCCTGAAAAGTGGAGTGAGTGAATTGTGTGTGCCATTAAAATTTGCTATACGTATGCAAACATTTCAGCACGGCGCAGTGGCGTGCTGAGATACGTAAGTATCATTGGTAGCCACTAAAACAAATTCAGAGGGCCGAGTGCAGGTTTATTTCACATCGACTCGCTCTCGACGGCGAGCGATTGGTGGAGATTTCAGATCACCGTGACGATCGAGTAGAAATGAAATAAACTCGCACTTGGCCCTCTGAACCAGCATAAGAATGCATCTGTCGATCCAACAGTATACGTAGTTTTACACTTATTGGAATCACTGTCATATAGTTCATAAACGTCTCGTTTTGTATCACTTCTCCATCTCCCCACATCATGCAAATTTAATAGATACTAGGTTTAAATCAAAGTGCCATTGAACACTTAATGAATTGCCTAGCGGTGTATGTCACCGTCAGCCATTTAACAGCGTACGTATTGAGTCTATGTCTATGTTATGATAGATCCACAGAAATCTATAACTAATTAAGGTGTGTTTTAAAATTAAAAACTTATCTAAAATAGTAGGAAAAGAATGTAATTACTTAGATTTTACGAAACGATTTACGGATGATCGAAACAATAATAAATCAAGCTAAGCAAAGTCAATACCCTAGAACGAAACATTTAAAAGTGATTGAATTATGGTTG